CATTGAACTCAATCTCCAGCCCCTCTTTACTCCCAGGAGGTTGGGGGATGGGACTAAAAGTTCCAACCACTAATCACATGGTTGGTGCCACCCAGAAATCAGCCCCCATCTGGTAGGTGACTTAGAGGCTTTCCAAAAGCCAGATCACTAACTTAACAAATGACATCTTGTTTGCTCTCAACACTTGGAAAATTCCAAGAGTTTTAGGAGCTATGTGGCAGGAATGGGATGAAAATCAAATATATATTTCTTATTATAAATCACAATGTCACAAGTTAATAACTTCATTGAAAAATAGTAATAGAACATGGGCATTTAAATGGTATGTTACCAACATAAAAATGAGCCTAAAATGAGCTTCTCAAAGAACAAATGTTTAATGTCTATCAAAATGAGTTTCTGAAAATAAAAGCCATCACTGGAGCTTTTTCCATTTACAGAACAGTTTCTGTTGCTCTGAACCTAATTCTAACCAGCAAGGGGATGTGGAAATGTTGAGATTTGAGGTGGGGGTGGTAGTGACCACCTAATGTTAGAGTTCAGGATAACAGTGGATGGGAATATGAGTCAATGTCGGATGTATTGCCTGGACTTCAGAAGGGCAGAAGACGCAAGGAGAAAAGACAGCAGACAGGCAGGAGAGTCAACTGCCTGTATTTCCAAACTGGAAGGCACTTTCTTAAAAGGGTCCCTTTGTTTAATCAACAGATATTTATGAAGTGCCCAGCTATTAGCCAGCCACTGTGTTTATAAAGAATTATAAGATGGAGTCCCTCTTTTAGGATGCTCCCAGTCCTGTGGAGAAGACAGACATTCAAAGAGCACATTAGAGACAATAGGGAGGTGCTGTACTAACTAGCAGAGTTTGTTATCCACTCAGGAGCTTTGCTCCCTTTGCTAAAATCCTCACCTGGGTCCTCTGCCTGGCTTGGCCCACACCACTTAATACTGCTCATCCGTTCCTAGTCACCATCCTATTTCCCTGTTGTGCATTCTTCACAGCACATACGACTATGTGAAAATATCTGCTTACTTGTTTCTGTCTAATGCTCACAGTAACTGCCATCACAGAGGGATCCCGCCTATCTAATTCAAGGCTGAGACCTGGAAAATTCATACATTCACTCATTCCACAAATATTTAAGGCATCTAATAATGTCAGGCATTGATCTAGGCCCGTGTGGGTAGATCAGGGAGCAGAAATTCCCTTCCCTCATGGAGCTCATTTTTACGTTGAATAATGACAACAATGAATATTCATTGAGTGCTTTCTATGAATAATCTTCACAACGTTGACTCTTCACAACAACTCTATGAGATAGGTATGATTATAATCCTTATAGGTGAGGAAACCCAGTCCCAGAGACAGTCAAGCCACTTGCTCAAGGCTAAGCAAGTGGCAAAGTTAAGATTCCCACCCAGGGAGTCTGGTTCTAGAGCTCAGCGTCCTATTCTGCTAGAATACCTCTTGCTTACATTTGCGTATACACAGTATGTGTGCAATAAGTATTGTTGGAAAAATGGCTGGAAGAGCCAAAGAAGGACATCACTGGGGGGAGGGAAGAATCAAGGAGCTTCACAGAGAAAGTGACAACTGCTGATCCTTGAAGACTGAGAGTTGAAAGAGTGGAAAGATAAGTGAGAGTGAGAGTGAGGGAGGCACACAGCAGCAAATAGCAAACATTGTGGCTGGACCATAAAGGGGGTTGGAGAGAAGAGGCCAAAATAATAGAATGGAGTTATGTGAAGAGCCTTGTATGCCCTGCTAGGTAGTTTGAACTTGATCCTAAATGTACTAAGAAGAGAGGCCCTGAAGAACGAATTCTGATTCCCTATGTAAAAATGAATTCTGAGGGAGAAAAAGAGGAGATGGGACTCAAAGGGACCAAGGTGGCTGACATGAGACGATTGCCAAGGAGCTCAGATTTAAAGGACCGTGAACGAAAAGTGTAACGAAGAACTAGAATGAAGGAGCACCATGTTCTTTTCCAACTGTGTGATTTTATTACACATCTCAGCTTCTCTATATTAACTTTCTAATAAACAGAATTGTCAAATCCCCTCTCCCAGTTACTTGTGACTTCAGAGACCTCAGTAAGATCTAATGGCAGTAAATTCTTGATGACAGTTTTTAAGATTTGAGATTATTAGCTCATTACCTTTCAAACAGATTTTCAAGAAGAGGGCTTTGCCCCTTACCACAGAGGTACAGAAAACAAGCAGACCAAGATCTCTCTCCCCAATAGGTGGGCAAGTGGCGATCTCACAAAATAAGGGAAAGATGGGGAATGTCTCCAGGGCTCCAGTGAAAGCACTTAGGGAGGTGAGTTTGCAACTTGCACAGGTATTTACGTAATCAGCAAAACCAGATCTGTTTCCTGTATCCCTGGCTCTACAGCACCTAGCACAGTGATGACACATGTTAGATGCTCAGTAAGTGCAGGTTATATGAGACCGACACAAAAGAAGGCAGATTGAACCAAGCCATTGTGGCTGAGTCCCACTACACCCCCTTCCTCTCAATACACGAGGAAGCATAAATCAAGTTTCTTCTGAAGGTAGAAATGGCTGGAGGAACCTAGAAAATGCATTGTCTATTCTTTGCAGAGCCCCAGTACTAACTGACACAGAAGTAAATGGCGTTAACATTGGATTGACTTCCATAGCTGTCAAAACATATCCAGGAATCAGGAGCAATATATTAGGAAATCTGGTTTTAGCCCTATTTATCTCTGCTGTGGAAAAGTACTCTGGTGGACCTCACATTCTTTTCTGCTTTCTCTGGCATTCTCCTATAAATGGTCCCAGGCACTAGACCCCATATTCCTAAATTTAGGTTGGGAAGAAAAGGCTAATTTATATCAAGGTTTCCAGTTTCACATGCTAGTTCTCTTAACATTTTCCCAAACGTAAAGAAAAACAGGTCCCTACTCTCATGGGGTTTGCAGTCTGGAGGGAGGCTGAGGAACTGGGTGTCCATGGTAATGAGGTTATAAGACCACAGGCATACCTTATTTTATTGCACTTTGCTTTATTGCACTTCATGGGTGTTGTGCTTTTTGTTTGTTTGTTTTTTTACAAATTGAAGGCAAGGCCCTCCAACTGAAATGAATCTGCAATACCTCAGATATGTTTGTAGTTCCATATTACTATCAGTCTCAGCAGCAGGCTAGAATTGACAATACTGGATCACCAAGCTAACCTTTCGCTCTGATAAGGCAAGTACAGTGATTTGGAAAGACTATGGGGAAAATTCCCCTTGGAATGTTTATAAGAAAATCGGCATATCCTGGAATGATTTCTTAAACTACGCACATTTCTCTTTCATGATGTGACTGATAAATTAGATCCAAAGGAAAAAAAAAAGACAGTTTCTGTTGGAAAAGTATGTGAATTATTTTGGGTTGTGATTTTCTAAGGTTAAGGTAATGATAATATAAATAGCTGGCAGTAAGTTACATAATTTAAGGCTTTCTCTGAAATTAGTGACATATGACCTATTAGTATATGGATTTCTGGAAAAAGCTTAAAAAAAGAATTATTTGGAAAGTTTGGATAAAGTCTGAGCTGTATTAAAGAAGCAACTGCTTCTGTCATTTCAGGAGAACTGCCTTGCTCCCTTTTTCTACCTTGGCTGAGACCAGGGGAACCATTGCCAAGGTTGGATTTCTAACTTTCCCTTGCAACTACTGCCTATGGAAAAATTTTTTTCAGGCATTAGAGTTAAAAATCTCTCTTTCAAATCCATACTCTATTTATTTCCCCCTTTCACTTATGGCAAGATTGTACTTGTTTGGAATAAAATAAATGATGAAACAAATTTCAAAGGCATTCCTGTTGAAAGTGCATTCTAGGGACAAATTACCCAGAAAAGGAACAAGAAAGAAAAACAGGGCCAGCTGACAGGTTCAGTTGGTAAAGTGCGAGCTCTGAGCAACAGGGTCGCCAGTTTGATTCCCACATGGGCCAGTGAGCTGCCAACAGGTGGCAGTGTGGCTCAGCTGATGAGAGCACATGCTCCTAACAACAAGGTTTCTGGTTCGACTCCCACATGGGATGGTGGGCTATGCCCACCTGCAACTAAGATTCAACAGGCACCTTGAGCTGAGCACCCGCGAGCTGACGACAGGCAGCCAGATAACGACTGGACTTGGAGCTGAGCTAGCTGTGCCCTCCACAACTAAGACTGAAGGACAACAACTTGCTGTTCCCCTTCCCCAATTCTCCAACACTGTTCCCCTTCCCCAATTCCCCAATAAAATCTTTAAAAAATAAATAAATAAAACAAAATGGTCATAAGGTTTACATCATAAAAAGATTTTCAAAGAGTTTGTATTTTTTGGTCCACAAATAATTAGCTAGATTACTGTTTAAGAATCTGTAATTTCCAGTAAGTGAATTATTTTCCTTAATATTAAGAAACCATAAAATCAAATTTTTATAATTCTTACAATCTAGCCAATTAAACATGGGACAAACAACTTCTCTCTAACAGTCCTTACTTTGTATTTCATCGTTAAACTCCTTTCCCCTATCTCGTGACTTCACCTCTATCAATACACCGAAGCCAAGAAAGTAACATCTCTAGGTTACAAAAGGGGCTGGGGACGCTTTTGTGAATCGATCTGCCAACTGTTAGCATCAGCTGGGTGAGCTTTTGGGATGCGGGAGTCTGTGATAATGCAAAATCTTTTCCATATATACACACTGTCCCTGCAAGTCCTCACTTTCCTGGCACACTTAGCAAACTCTCAAAATAAAACCATCAAAAAGATTCAAGGGGAGGCGTCGCCCATCCCCGCCGGCATCCTTTCCACAGCCAGCTCCTCCCCTGCCATCTGTCCCCAGGGATGCCCACGGGAGGAGTTGCGGGAACCAGCGTCCGCTGCGCCGGCCGCGGATGCCCTGTCAGGTCTGACCCGCCAGGGGGCGCCCGGCTCTCCACCCGTGGAGTGGGGTGGGGTGAAGGCGTGGTCCGAGAGGAAAGCGCTTGTGCCCACCTTGCTCGCAGGTGCCCTTGCTGACCTGGGTGATGGTCTTCTCCCCGCGGCTCTCGGCCTTCAGGCTGGCGGCGCGCAGCTGGCACCCGCTGGGGTAGGTGATGCCATCGCTGCCGCACACCGGGTAGCGGCTCTTGCACACGCACACTCCGCTCACCACCGGGCCGCCGGCTGCTGCCCCGGCTTTACCCTTCCGCCTCTTGCGGCTCTTCACGCACTCCATGCCCGGCGCGCAGTGCCCCCTGCCGGCACCGCCGCCCCCGCACGGCTCGCCCTCGCCGCGGGCGCACACCGGGCAGCAGCCGCACGCGTCGCGGGTCTCACCCAGCGGGCAGCCCCGCGGGGGCAGGGGCGGGCAGGTGGCCGGCTCGCAGGGGCCGCAGGTGTCCGAAGAGTTGGAAGAGGAGAGGGGTAGGAGCAGGAGCAGCAGCCCCGCGGCGCTGAGGAGCAGGGCGCGTAGCGGTGGCCGCTCCATGGCGGGACGTGGTGGTGGCGGCCTGAGCGCGAGTGAGCGGGGCGCCGCCGGCCGGCGCCTTAAACGCGGCGCCCCGCCCGGCCTGGCTGCGGGAACCACACCCCGGGGCGGCGAGAGCTCGGCCGCCCCGCCCGGGACCGCGGTGCTCGAGTGCGCTCCTGCTGGCGGGGCGGCGCGGGGCATCCGCGCGGGCCCAGGGCGCTGGGGCTCACTCGCGCTGTGCGCGGGGCTTTGGCCGCCGAGCGCACCGTGCCGGCTCCTGGTCAGGACCCTGCCTTGCCCCATGGGCTGCGCCCCAGCCCCTTGTACGATAGATCGCCCACCGTGAGAGCGGCTCCCCCCTCCTTCTGGTTCCTCGTGTTTCCCAGTCCAGATATTTGTACTTAACAACGACTTTGAACCGACCCAGTGTTTAATCTATTCACTTCTCCATGGGCCCGTGAGACCTGATGACTCTGCGGTTGAAGAAGCGCCTTTAGAAACGAATTGTTTATGTGTCCCCTGTTGGCCACAGGCCCCCTGTGGTCTTGGGGGCCGGGCTAAAAGGACAAATCCTTGCCAACCACTCCTCTTTTTGTAACCTCATAACTGCCTCCTCCCCCTCTGCTTTCTTACCGGCAAGTCAAGTTTTAAGTGTGATTACTGGAATTCATGTGAGAGCTGTGTCGTTGTCTTAAGTTCATACTAAATTGTGTTGTCCCTCCATCAAACCTCTCCAGAGAATTGAGCTGGGGTGCAACTGAGGACCTAAAGCACCCCCAGTTTTTACCAGCAAACCTGTGAGGTTTTTGATGTAAATGACTGACAGTTCCTGCTTAATCTTTCTGTAAAGAATTCTACAAACTCAATTTCAAAGCCTCTTTTCCCAATAATATTGGTCCTTCAAACTTCTCCTAGCCAGACATTTAAGTTGTTTCCAATTTTTTTGAACATAACACACTGCAGTGTGCATGATTCTGTATGTCACATTTTAGCTCTTTTTTCTTGGTATAAACTAAGAATTTATAGGATTTTCAGCTAAGTCAAAGTGTGTGGTTCACAATGTCATCAGAAATGTATAGATGTCACCCTCACCAGAGTCTTCCTAGGATTATTATTGTAAACTTTTTTGAAAATTAAATAATCACAATATTGAAGGAATAAAAAAACCCAAGCACCCCCCTCCTATTCAGAAAACTTGGCACTACTTTTTGACTTCTCCTTAACATAGTACTCTAGAAAAGTGGTATTTTTTTTAAAAAGGTCACATGTTGACATGACAATTGTTTAAAAAACAATGAAAAGTCTTTCGAGCAGTTTTCCTAATCTTGCCTTTGTCCCATAGTAAGAGATAGTTTACACGACCTAGCACAGTCTCAAATTGAAAGAAATGCAGAGTGCACTCCGATATCTTATTCTATTCTATTTCAATTTTATTAATCTGCTGGTCAAGGTTCACTAAGTTGATTTCACGACCTATGATGTGTCATAGTTTTAGGTTCTCTAGAAGCCAACCATGAGACAAGGATTCCAGCACAAGTAGTTTTACCTGAGAGGCCACATCAAGACACACCAGTTGGGAGGCGGGGAGGTAGGGAGTGAGCAGGAAGGAAGATGGCCAATAAAGATGCTTATCGAGTCAGCTCCAGGCAGGGTGGGCTCTGCTGCCAGATAAGACCTCAGGCTCTACAAATTTTGCACGTGTTATGGGGGGATGAGGGGAGGGTATAGAGGTACTGACAGCAGCTGCATCACTAAGGGCCGCTCTCCACAGTGTTTCTAAACCCTCCGTGGGAGCCAGCAGTAATAACAGAAGCAAGTGGGACAGTAGAGTTCCTTTGGGGGGGGGGGTCCTCACTGCCCAGCAAATGGAAAAGCAAGCAGGGTTCTCATCACTGAAGGAGGCACCTGGGCTGTGTGATAACGCCAATTGGGAAGACTTGAAAATAGGAAGAGAACTCCTTTCAAGAAAGAAGATATTGTCACCCATTCAGCTGCAGTTCTAGTGAGATGAAGAGCCTCAATGTGAGGATAGGATTATGCCTCCTGCAAATAAATAGAGTTTTACTTCTTCCTGTTTAATCTACGTGTCCTTTATTTCTTCTTTCCTAATTGATCTGGTTAGAACCTCCACTAAATTGTGCAATAGAAGTGGTGAGAGTGGGCATCCTTGTCTTGTTCCTGACCTTAGAGAGCTTTCAGTCTTTCACTATTAAGTATGATGTTACCTGTGGGTTTTGTTTTTTGTTTTTTGTTTTTAGATTTTTATTGGGGAATTGGGGAAGGGGAACAGCACTGGGGAATCGGGGAAGGGGAACAGACAAGTTGCTGTCCTTTTTTGTTCTTCAGTCTAATTGTGGAGGACATTGCTTCACTGGCCCATGTTGGCATCATCATTGCGCTTTTCCCAAGTAAGGCAGTCGCTTGCTGACCATTGCACGGCCGCAGCGGCTCACAGCAGCTCACGAAAACTCACGCCCGCTGCCGGCCAGCCCCACTGCAGCCTACACTGTCATCGGTGATTCATGGCAGCCCAACTCCAGGTGGCGCTGTTGTTCACATCTTAGCTGTAGAGGGTGCAGCATCACTGGCCCTCAATGTGGGACCCGAACCGGGGTCCTGCTCAGAGCTGGCGTCCCAAGCCAACTCTTAATCAATGCGCCACTCAGCCAGCCCCCTGTGGGTTTTTCATAGATGGTCTCTTCCCAGTTTTATCATGAAGAGGTGTTGAGTTTTGTCAAATGCCTGTATTGATGATGTATTGAGATGACTGATAAAGATGTATTTTATGCTATCGATATATGGTGTATTACATTAATTAATTTTTGAATGTTAAACTAAACTTGCATTCCTGGGATAAATACCACTTGGTTGTGATGTATAGTTCTTTCTTATATGTTTCTGGATTTGATTTACTAATATTTTGTTGAGGATTTTTGCATCTGTATTCATAGGAGATATTGGACTGTAGTTTTCTTTTCTTGCGATGTCTTTGTTTGGTATCAAGGTAATGGTGGCCTCACAGAATGAGTTAGGAAGTGTTCCCTCATCTTCCATTTTTTTGGGCAGCATTTGTGAAGAACTGGTATTAATTGTTCTTTAAATGTTTAGTAGTCTTCACCAGTGAAACCATCTGGGCCTGGGCTTTTCTTCATGGGAAGTGTTTTGGTTACTACTTCAATCTCTTTACTTGTTATAGGTCTGTATTAGTTTGCTGGGGCTGCCATAACAAAATACCACAGACTGGGTGACTTAAATAACAGAAATTTATCTTCTCACCGTTCTGGAGGCTGGAAGTCCAAGACCTAGGTGATGGCAGGGTTGATTTGGGTTCTTCTGAAGACTATAAGGGCAAGATCCTCTCCCCAGTTCAAATGCCACCCACAAAATACCATGCACTCCCCTCCCTCACTAAACAAGACTGCTACTTTACAAATTATAACTTTATATTGCATGTTTTCCTTCCCTATAGATAAGATTTATTGAAATACTCAGTCATAGAATTGTTCCCCACCCAGAGTCTTTCTTAGACCTTCCCCAAAATTAGCCAACTAAAGTCCAAATTCTTAATGGTTTCTTTCTATTGAGATACCCTCCTATTGAGATACTCCACAGTGCCATATGGAATCTATTCCCTCTTGCTACGATGAGTAATAAACTCATCTTATTTGACTATAGGTGTATTCATGGTGGTCTTTGGATGAAGAACAATGACACATCAGAGATTTGCCTTTCGGCTCCTTTCTTCTATCCTACTCCAGCTCCACATTCCCCTGCCCCAACCCACAGTACACTCCAAAATCCTTTGCTGAAAGGTCCTTGTACCTGGCAAGCACCCTTCTTGGTGGGGCATCTCCAAGACATCTCAGGTTAGCAAACTTCAGTGGCATCTGTGGGGAACCCATGGTGCCATGCAGCCTGCCTTGCTGTGTCCCTCTGTGCCCCGCCTCTCCACCAGATGTCCAACTGGAGAAGGGAATGTTTGTCTCTTTTTCTTTTTTTTTTTTAAAGAGTTTTATTGGGGAATTGGGGGGATGGGAACAGTGCTGAGGAATTGGGGGAAGGAGAACAGACAAGTTGCTGTCCTTTTGTTCTTCAGTCTAGTTGTGGAGGACTTGCTTCACTGGCCCAAGTTGGCACCATCATTGTGCTCTTCCCGGGTGAGGCAGATCAGTCGCCAGCTTCTGGACGGCCGCTCACGGCGGCTGCTGGCCACTCACACTGGCTGCTGGCTACACACGGTAGCCCATGGCAACCCACTGCCACAGGGGCTGCAGCCTACCATTGCCGGCGACTCACGGCAGCCCAGCTCCAGGTTGAGCTATTGTTCAGCATCTTAGCTGTGGAGGGCAGTGTCACTGGCCCCCATATGTGGGATCCGAACCGAGGTCCTCTGGCATCCCAAGCCAGTTCTTAACCATCGCGCCACTTGGCCGGCCCTGTTTGTCTCTTTTAATCAATGGTTGTGATGCGAACATCACAGTATGTTGGCATCTCCCCTCTCACTTGGCTTCTTTGGGTGTGGGTGGGGGGACAGGCATGGGAGGGGAAGAGAAACACCCTGCATCTTGCTCTAGGCTCTCACTCACCCTCAATATCCATATACAGAATGGAGGTTAGTGTGCCAGGTGAGGTTGATTGTGTAGGGCCATTTAACACTGAGGAACATTCTGTTCCAGTTCTTGGTGGCTCTTTTTTAGAATGTGGGAGCACATAGCACCTATAGGTTTGGGTTGTGGATTGTAGTGCTATTTCTAGGCAAGGGAAAATTTGTTTTATTCAATAGTCTGTTATGGTAATTATCATCTTTATCATCATTTCATTTTTTTCTCTTCCTCCTTTTTCATCATCATCAGTAAGTAAATTATGAGGTGATGGAGTGTGGTGTCGATGATGATCCCAGCCCAGATCAACAGCGTGTGAAAAGGAGTGAAGCTAATGGAAATCATTTTGGCCCATTCCAGCAACCAGACAAAGTCCAGCACAGCTGAAGTAAGGTGTGTATGGGGAGAAATGGGGAGAAATGAGTCTAGAGAGAGGGCAGATGCCAGATGACCGAGGGCTTTGCATACCATGCCTAGGCTTTGG